AGATTTAACACATTTTAAGAAAATGTACAGCTTATTTTAAATATATGAAAAAATTCGATCAACTTAAGACAGAATGGCTTTGATCAAATAACTTCAAAAATTGTGATGAAACAGTGGACATTTTTAGTTCAGTGAGGCTAGGGGAGGCCAGAAGAAATTTTGTGTTTTTTGTTAGAATTACCGTGGGGGCGTCTTACCCCATGTGAGGGACTTTTAGCTAAAATATAAAATTTTCTGCTACCTTAGGCTTCTTCACTACATTTCAGAGGAAAATATTGTACTTTTTACTCCACTATACTTATCTGACAGATATAGTTACTAGCAACTGATTTTACACAAGAAACATCAAATAAGCTTATTAAAAACAACCCATAATTAAAGAATAAACCAGTGGTTCCCAAACATTTTGGCTTGTGGTCACTTAGAAAAAAATCTGTCTGCTTGGGGCCTCTTGTCATGTTTCAGATGTTTATGAGTTGTTAGCATAAAATGTATGTAATTTAAATATTTTTCTGTTTGAGGCCCTCACAGGTCAAATTATCCAAAGAAGCAAAAATAGATTAAGTCCAACAAAAAGAAAACAGATTTTATGTATCAGAGCCAGCAGCGTAACGCAATTGTGAATGGCAATGGTGCAAATATTTTTCTTGTGCCACTTGCCTCAAAAAGCATGTTCGTGTAGCCTATACACGGGCATACAGACCATAGCAGACACACACGCAGGATAAGATGAAGTCGAGACTGTTCTCAAAGTAGGGGGTGGGCTCACCAGGTGGAAGAATAGAGCCTGCGCAGGAGAGCAGATATGACCAAGGGCGAAAAGTGCATATAAAGTAGTAGACCTGATTGTTTAAGGAATAATATCCAAATAAAACATGCAGCCCAAGTGCTAAATGCAAATCTTTCATCCTGTCCTCAACTCAAACCTGCTGTCTCCGACTATCAAACAACTGAAATAGCTTTAGCCAGGCTACAGTAAAAAATCAACATAAAGTAGCTGACACAGTATAACCCCAGAACAAAAAGTAATTAAGAAAAGCACAGCAACTCATTATGCCAGCACAGTATGAATGAACGTATGATGGCATCTGATCACGATCCACATGGCAATTGTTGCTGTCCTTCATGGGCCCTTATCAGCTGGGCCCCGGTGCAATGCAATGCCTTGGTACTTAAGCCACTGATCAGAGCATTGTTTTTTCTTCTTTTCTCTCCTATTAATTGTCTCAGGACCCTCAGATTTATCTGGGGACCCTTTGGAGGGGCCCGAACACTACACTGGAAACAACTGTTGCTAATAACTAAAAATATAATAATGTAAAATAATACATGCACATGGGGCCATTTTTCTGTGGAACAAGTTTATACATTGTATTACTTCTGTACTTTTACTTCAGTAGGATTTTGAATGATGACTTTTAATTGTAATCAAGTACTTCTTTAAAATTGTTGTATTGGTACTTTTACTTCACTAAAAGCTGAGCTCTTCTTCCAACTGCGTGCTTGCAAAACGTAACTATCTTTTTATAATATCTAATTATTATTATTATTAATAATATCTAATTATTATTATTATTATTATTATTATTATTATTATTATTATTATTATCATTATTATTATTATTATATAATTATTTTCTGATGTGTAATCACTATCATTGAATTTGTTGTTTAATACTGTTACTGTAATTTTTTTTTCTTCCATTTAAAAACTTAGATAGCTACAGTAGAAAGATGTATGGAAACAGAAACACAACACATAATTAAATATTCAACATGCATTACATAGAGAAGACCTACACTACCAAACTTATTGTCTATCAATAGCTGTAACCTCAGTGCCTCATGGGGGGTGGCTGCCCCTCACTCAGTCCAGGGCCTTTGTGTCAAGCCCAGTATTTCTGCCTCTGTTATTAAGGGATTAGTCTGACAGGCCCTGCTGCAGATGAGCATATGGTGAGTGCATAATCAATAATGGAAGGCTGCACAACTGTAGAAGAAGTCTCACATACTCACAGTATGCACAAGTTCACCCTGAGCAGTGCAAAATGTTGTCAACCATGAAACAACAGAATTTGGTGACACCATCCATCAACTAGGGATAAGTACATTACCAGGTTTTTCCTGCCTCTGCCTGTGACAGAAGACTTTGTCTGGCAGAGATCTTGCACTTGATTGTGTGCTTGAGTGTATCTGTCTGCAGCTAATCTATTGGATACTGCATACTGCTGACCATCAGCCTAATATTTCTTTTTGCACATTTATGATTGTGCGCTTAAGGACCTCTTGTGGTTGCGGTGATTCACAATTTTGAAAAAACTATTTTATTGACTATGGTGAAGCTTAGATCTTAATTTTTTCAGCAGTATTCACCATTTTACGGTATGCATTACAACCATTGGTGTTTAAAGAGAATTTCGGTGTTATCTTGAACCGGAGCATCTGCTGGTTAATTCCATACATGAAATGTTATGATCCACTGAACAATACGATCGGGCACGATACAAGATTAATAAATCCCCTTTTTTATTGTCTTTGCCGTCATCTTGACTACAAGGGAGCCGAGAGGTACAATTGAATTTGCAAGGGCTGAGGCAGGAGTTTTATTTGTGATGTTACGACAAAATGTTCTAAATAAATATATGATATAAATAACAATGTTATTTATATAGAATAGAATACAATGCAACCTTATTGTCCAGCTGAGGCCGGAAAATCATGTTTGGTCTCAAATAAACATCAATATGTAGGCTAAACGTCCCATTTAATGTTTCCTTGTTTACAGCGAACCCAGGACGCTCGGTTACAATACCATTACACTATTGTATGCATATTAAAGAAAACTGTGCCTATACTATACAAAACACTTTATTAAAACTTTGCATATATCTATATAAAACGGATACTATACTATACAAACCTTTATAGTTGAAGATTCCCAACAGACATGTTTTGAAACATAAAAATACTCTGTTTTGAATACTAATTTGTGTCTGATGGTTTCTCCACAAATAAGATCAATTAATAGACACAGCTAGCTAGTTAGCTGCACATTGTGAGCAGAAAAAACATCTAAGTGAAGAAACAATTAGCAAAAAACATTTTTTAAGTGGTTAACTTGAAGAAAGAAATTCTTCTAAGATGGTGGGAAAGTAGGTGGACAATTTTTTGGCCAAACACAGTGACTTTGTGGAGTCTCTATTAGTTAATATAGCACACAACATCCCATCCTACATATTTAACAAACAAGATGTTACATATTGTTTATTAGTTAGCTTTTGAGGAATGATGAAGGCACTTGCAAATGACAAGGTCATACAATATGTAAACCATACTTATTACCATACTCTATTAAACGCTTCTTTTTTACCTTTAAAACACAAAGAATGCAGGTTCAATTTGCTGGGTCAAAATCTACCTACCATGTTGGTAGGTAGATTTTGTTAAATTTGGAACGAGCCAAGGTAACTGTCCCCATTCCAAGTCTATGTTAAGCTAAGCTGGCCAGTTGTTTACTCTAGCTTCATATTGAACGGACAAAGATGGGAGTGGTATAAATTTTTTCATCTAACTCTCTGCAGCAAAACAAATAAGCGCATTTCCCAAACGTTAACATACTCCTTTAAGGTAAGATCCAAATCAAACGGGTAGAGAACTAGATACTGCAGGCAGAGGCAGAACTTAAATCCAATCATAAGAGAAGATCTGTTTCAAAATTGTCAGCATAAATATTTACTTTTGGACAATCATGTTTTGAAGAATATGTTCCCCGAGGAAGGAAATTGACCCTAATTGATGAAGGCAAATAAAACACATCGCAATAAGATGTTGCATAAGTTTTAACACTCATTTATTTATTCTCCTTATTTTTTTCTTGACAACTTTTGTTGTTACATGTCCACAGACATGAGAGAGAACTCCAGAACACTCAAAAGATAAACGTGAGAACTGAGATTAAGACTTCATCACAGGCTGTTTCTGCTTCTGTCAAGCAGCTCAGAGCAAGAGTGGCAGACCTGGGATTATCTACCCAGTCCATGATGACCGCCTCACCCACACTGAGCTAAAATGTGCAAAACTGATCCCTGATCAGCACTCTTTACTCTGGGGTGAGAACTTGACGAAGCAGCAGGCCAGTTATTCTTATTCATCATGGTATACAGAGGAAGAGAGAGTTAATATCATCTGTGTGATGAGACCCAACACAGAAAATCTCCATTTATATACAAGACAGAGCCAAGAGGAAGGTTTCCAGTTAGTCATTACAAGGATCATGAATGACAATACTTTACAAGCAGCACTTCAGCGGGGAGGGCTGTTGTCATTAGCAAGCGGTAAGGCAGGAAAGAAGGACAGAGTACAGCAGAAGATAAGTGGATCTGCATGCTTCGATCCAGAGCTATGACATTTAAAAAGCAGCCAAATATAAAATAATCAACTCATTTACTTTTCAGTGCAGTTCCAGTGCACTAAAACTGTCTCACAAAGTGTTTTTTAAGGTGATACCCTTGAATTATTAGGGCTGGAAGCATTGCAAGCCATCTGCCAATTGTAAACAAAAAAACCCTAAACAATCAATGCAATTTGATGCAGTGTTGGTGGTTTGATTGCTGAAGCAAAAATGGCACCATTTCAGAATCTAATGTTCTACTCCTTTCAGGACAGGGTCATGATATTAAAACAACAACAAAAAAAAAAACAGTCTTTTCCATACATTCTTAAAACATCATACAAAATCACAGTAAATAAAGATGCTTTTGTGCATGAGTGCAATATATTTTAAGAACATAATCCATCCTTCAAAACCTTATAAATAAAACTTTCCATTTGTCTTCTGTTCCAGCAGGCAACATACAGGATATATCTATAAACATTTTAAAAAACAAATAAAGGTGATTATACCAAGATGACCCAAACACTAATCCCATTTAATTACTTGATAACAGACAGAACATCATTTTAAAAACAGATGAAGCCATAGATAGCAACAAATCTAAAGTGATTTTTTTAAGTATTAGGCTGCATTGCTCAACAGGTTGGTTGGCCTGTGGCGTACAGAGTCCTGAATACTGTTAACTGACTGTAAATTAGGTTTGACAAAAAGTTAGTCATAACCAGTCAAACGAGTGGAAAATGGGAAAGACGAAATGGTTGGCCGACCATGTCTTTGAGATTTACAAAAGAAGAAGGGGCTCTCCTGTAGAGTGAAAACAGATATGGATAGTGATCTTTTAAATGCAAATAATATAATAAACATTCAAAAAAATGTGCAATGTGTCTAGCAAAGGCAAATAATTGTTTAGTTCAATTTAGCTTCCACAGATAATATTGATTTCAAACCAACATTTGGGGTCATCTCAATATAGTGCAAAATAACAGACCGCAGATAAAAGCAACTAGAAACCATTTCTGGACATAAATGTCATAACAACAAGAAGCTAATGATACTCTACTGGTTTCTGACACAAGCATCAGGCTGTCAAATATCTAGCCGCAACAGTACAAAAGCTAAGACGGGGATTACTTTTAAATGGAACATTTACAGTCAGTGATAATGATATACACTGTACTTTACTGTTGTTACAGGCTATACCAACATACTATATAACATCATTGATAATATTCACTCTCCAAAACATAAATCAATATAAAAAAAAGATCCATCTACTTTTACTCTACATAAAAGCTTAATCTTGGACATACATGTAACTAACTATGTCAAAGACAATGCTGAAGGAGGGAGAGAAGAAACAGAGGTGAAAAGAGGGAGGCACTATCTGGTGCATGGACAACGATTTTGTCCACTCAAAGCAACTGCCTTCAATAGATTACAGGTCCATGGTCAATTACAACTTTCCATTTAGCTACTAGACGAGACATAAATATTAAACTTATTTAATATAGCAACTCAGCTGGCCCATAACTACAGACAGAATAAGTGCTTATTTGATTAAAGCAAAACTACCCACATCCTGTACAGCTGTCCTCCTAGTGTATTTAACATCGAAAGTTAATTTACATAATTCATTAGTTTAAAGAAATAGATCAATGTTTTGGAAAAAATTCGTTCACTAGCTTTCTTTCCGAAAGTTACATGTGGAGGTTATGCTTTTAGCAATGCTCCCCGAGGAAGGAAAACACATCAGTATGGTGGCTGCGAGGATGGTGCACTCAGGTTTGTACAAAGAAGACGGTTAGCTTAGTGCAGTATTAAGACCGGAAACAGCAGGCTCTTTTTGAAGTCCGGCTACCAGCACATGAAAAGCTCACCGATTAACACATTATCGCTCACATTTGTACCTTTGTTTGTCCTGGAATTCAATGCGCCTTGTCAAGAAATAGTATGGCACATAACAAAATTTAACTTTGTTACAGATATAGTGTTATTGGTGAGCTTTAGAGCTGCTGGTAAACAGATTTTGTTACATTTTGACAGAGCCAGGCAAGATGTTTTCCCCTGCTTCCGGTATTTATGCTAAGCTAATGGACTGCTGGCCATAGCTTCATTACCATACCGACGGTTCAGTTATCAATCTTCTTATTTAACTCTTTTTTGGGAATAAGTGTATTACCAAAATATTGAACCATTACTTTAACATGCTAAATGTCTGCCAACTGCATAGTGGACAGTGATTTGAAAGAATTAAAACAAGTAATGCTTTGGTTAAAACAACTGAGTAAATGATACATTACATTAACTCAATAAAGACATTAAAGTGCCATGCAACAAAACAGGTGAGTGGCCCTGTCACAAATAAATAAGTACCTACACTAGCAACAATAAATAACATTATTCTTTATGGTTCTATGCACAAGGGATCATGTAAGAAAAAGCACAAAATGCGAACAAAGACATGAGTTATCTCTCCTTATATTGGATTATTTTGCCTTAGTCTAGTCAACAAACTCAGTTTTCAAGGAACCAGTAAAAAAAAAAAAAAAGCAACACAACAACAACCACACACCCTTTTGTCCTAAAAAATCCATCATGCTACTTCAATGTTAAAATGACTGATCCGTTTGCTATCTGAAACCTCTGCAGTGAAACAAATACTCTATGCTGTAGATACTAACTGAGGTAATGTACAGTATATGATGGATGCGTGTGGCGCTATCATCCCTTCACTTACACAGATAAATATCTGGGTTCGATGTTTCCTCTCCCTCATCCAATGCCGTTATTGAGAAATAGATGAATAACTGACTAAAACTGGGACTTATTTTCAGTTATTGTGAATGACCACATACTAACTCTGTACAAGGAACCGGTAGCCTCACAGATGACAGATTTCTACATAAAAACTAATCAAAACTAGCCCAATGCCCAGAAGAGGTAAGTTAATTAACGGGTTTGGGTGGTTAGTTTGGCTTATGTTTCTTCTATAGGAAGGGTGCACGCCATGCAGGGTTTTGAGGTGGCGACTGCAAAAACACAGAAAGGACAGTTTTGTTGGGTTTCAGGATGAGCAATCAATTGATGTTAGGGACTGTGGCGGTCGCCACATAGAAGGTTATTTAAATGGCTGTATGTATAAGTTTGTTCATATGGTCTATGTTCATTAGAGCGGGACGGTGAGCGGAGCTTTTAGATTGTATTTGTTTGTTGTTTCCCACCAGGCCAGTTCATCTCTCACATCCTCTGAGCAGACGGGACCGACTGGACCGACTTTCTCCGGGAGAGCTTTGACCTGAGGAGAGGAGAATAAAGTAGCTTGTAAATCTGTGTATAGCTATATCATGATTTATTTTGCAGGTCCTGTAATTTCCTAATACATTCCCTGGAAATTTCCTGAAAAGAACTACATAAATGGGCACTAGTGAGAAAATAGAGATCATGTTCTGAGGCAGTAGTTTGAGTTCAGTTTATTGTGTTGAATGTATAGGCAGTTATTGATTTCTAGTTGAATATTCATGAAAGATTTTGTCAAATCTGCATATTTTCCATACCATTTTTGACGAATAGCTTGCTCATCTGTGGACATATTTCACATTTTGGGATATTCAGCTGACCTGCTGTACACTGTCTAAAGCACTGTCTAGGCCAGTGTTTCACAACCTGGGGGTCAGGACGCCTCAAGGGAAGAGCAGAAGAAAAATATGGGGGGCCACCAGATACTTCTGTCTAACCAGCTATTGAATATTTCTTTCCGATTTTGCTTTCGTTCTTGTGAAGTACTGTAAATATTCACCTCTTAGGCCTATAAAAATCCTTCAAATGAAACAACCAGATAAAAAATGACCACTCTTTGGTTAATGTGCTCAGACATTATGTTCACACTAAAACCACAACCTGCGATGAGGGGGTCACGGGTAGACACAAGCTAAGAAGGTTGGGAACCACTGCACTGGGTTATGTTAATTGAAAGTCTACCTCCATTTTCCCAAATAAGTACGTGATACTAAATTACAAAGTGCTTTCCAGGAATCTTTCTTATCATTTAGTTACACCTCGGTTTCTTTCTTGGAAAATTTCAGGGGACCTGTATAAGTGTTATGTCTGTGTTGCTAATAGCTGTTTAAAACAGTTTTCCATGATAGTTTAGGTGATGTTTTTCCTTTACAGTTTCTACACCACTCACCTGATGGTGCCGGCTAACAGAGGGTTAAACGCGTACAGCCAGTCGTGCATCTCTTTGTCATTGGTAGCCTGCAGCAGTATTCCACGGTGCTCAGTGCACACAGCAAACGTGTTGGGAGTCTGGACACATGAAATATCATGAGGTTACTTCAGTTCATTTAGATATTATACTAAATACTATTTATTTATCTATCCATCTTCCATCTATCTATTCATCTCATCAAGCTCCGTCGTACCCGCAGTAAGGTCTGTTTGTCTTCACTGTATTCCACCTTCGCAGACGACAGGTTGATGACAGCTCTCTCAACGCTATCCCTCTCACTGCGGTACAGGTAGACGTAGGGCCTGCGCACCACCACGTAACGCTTCACCCAACCACTGGTGTGGGGCTCCAGGAAGTGCAGGTAGCCTTTCTTTGACACAATGGGGCTGCATACGATGAAAGAAATACTAATGTTAGGACAAAATGAATAAAACTTGACCTTTCTTAAAGGCTCGTTGTTCCCTGAATGACAGTAGAGTTTGCACCTGACAAACAATATGGCAACTTTATCCACAGTGACTGAAAATCAAGTATCGTGTGTGTGGTCTGACCTGACACGAATCTCCTGTATGTCAGGAACAAAGGTGCATCCTCTGAGAGCTTTCTTTCTGTCCACTGGGCTGTATGGGTCCAGATCTGGTGTGGAAGCTCCTGAACTGGGTTCAGTGTGTCTACACAACATAAACAACAATGTTCACAATGTGACAAAAGAAACATGCCTGGGCCTGTTCATCTAACTCTTTTTCACTATTCACTACAAAAAATTTATGCTGCTGTATACTTCACTACATTTCAAAGGGATATATTGTACTTTTCACTCCACTACAATATGTTGATGGCTTCACATATTGGTTACTTTGCAGATAAGTTTTCATACAACATGACCAGTTTGTAAGACTAAACTACCAAGTAGCATAAACAATATTAAAATACTGTTCATGTTACTGCATCAGCATTAATTATCCAATATGATATCAGTAATAATAAAACTAATGAGTACTCTTACCTTTGATTCCTGAAGTACATTTGGCTGACAATACTTCTGTACTTTTCCTTAAGTAACATTTTTAATGCATGACCTGAGTGTTTTGACATTGTGATATCGCTACTTTACTTAAGCATATTATCTGAATACTTCTTCTATCCCTGCCACCTTCTCTTGTAAATGTTTGCCATATGATGATATCACCAGTTGACGCCATTCAAGAGTCATTTAGCATATCTGAAACACCAACAACAAATTCTTTATTTATCTTCTCAGGCACAGTGGCGGCAAGTATCTAAAACCTCACAAACCAGTATTAAACTAATCCTCCGCCGAATAACAGCACGTAGTTACATACCTAATGTCATAATGTCCCTCGACGAGTGAGGGGCAGGTAGAGGACGGAGTGAGCGTGCTCAGTCCAGACGAGCAGGAATCTCTCATCAGCGACGCGGACATCTCAGAGAGCTAAAACACACATAACCACACACAGAAACACATCCACAACAAATCACGCACGGAGAAGCACACATGCAAGACAAGAGGGACAAATACAGATACAGACAAAACACACCAGCAAACAATTAAGCACGTACAACACAGACATGCATTCAGAGAACAATTCAATCAGACAATTTGTAATTTCTAGCAATGTACTGTAGAACCATCTCTGTACCATTGTTATACAAAAACCTATTTTCTAAGAGCCCCTTGCTGATTAACATGTTAAAGAGGACATGCAGGAGTAACATCAGGTTAGTGGAAGCCTCGCAGAGTCTAAAGAGGAGGAACAATGAGGGATGAGCACGGGTAAAGGAGGAGGTTGGAAACAAAAATATTTTTAGGTATGGGTTTGGGAAGACAGTGTTAGGAAGTAGACCTGAGTCACTATTATCTCTCATCCAGCTGGTTCAATCAAAGTCTAAGAATTATTTGTGAATAATATTTAACTCATTTATACTGAGTGGAGGTAAAGACCTAAGACATAACATGGGATTAGGTTAAAGACACCTAAAAAAAGAGGAATCTGTTCTGAAATAAATGACTGAATAATGAATGAAAGCAATGGCAGAGAGTGGCTGAAGTGCGGGGCTACAGTATTATGTGGTAAACGCTAAAGGTTCAGAAGGATTAACGGGCCTGGTTAGAGGGCCTAGGCTGGGGCTCACCTTGCTCTCACTGGCACTGCTGCTCACCTGGCTGTACTCTCTGTTGAAGGTGTGCATCAGCAGACGCAGACACTGAAAAGAAGATAGTGAAAGACAATTTTTTTTATAGATAATGTTGAATAAAACCTGTATCTGATCAAAACAACTACAAAACAATAGTTGAGCTGAGACAAACGTCCTGGTGGCCTAAGAGACCAGCAGTCACCTTAGCAGCCAGCTCCCTCTGCCTCTGGTTGGGGCTGTCGGGGGCAGGGCTGCTGCCGGGACTGGGGCTGAGGACGGGGCTCTTTGCAAAATCGCTGATGTCGCTGCTCTTGTAGAGTGCATCCTGTCCTGCCTGCAGAGTGGCCTCCAGCTTCTCCCTCAGCAGCAGGTAATGCCTGGTCTTCTCCACCTGAAAACAGTGGCAGATCCAACTTTAACATCAACCTTTGCGGTCTGGAGGGGCTCAAAGGGTGTTTATTTCTGGTGACATTTCTAACTAGATAAATGCACGAAAGACTCACTTCTTTTGTCTTTGTTCCCAGTTTTCAAATTAAAATATTGCAGTTGTTTTGCAAGTGGTAAATGTCTCTTGGAGTATCTATCAAATGTAGTTTCTGTATATTGTAACATTGAGATTAGGTAGTGCAGTTTCTGAGTCATCCTTTATTTTAGATATACAATACCTGGTTTGAATAGATTTGAAATCATCATCTAATCAAACAATCATAATTTAAGTCAAGTGAAAACCCTGTATCTCCAAATTGGTGATCTTTAATTTTGAGATAAACTGAAAGATTAACTGTTCCTTTATGAGTTAAGAAAATTCCCCTACTTCTTGAGCGGAATAAACCATAAAAACAGCGAATTGACTGTAAAAGCTGCAAATAGAGTTGGCTTTCTCATAAAAAGGTGAAGTTTTGGATATACGTGGTTTTCACAGGACAGCGACAACTTTAGCAAATCTGAGCTGGTCTAAATTTAGATTAACTTTAGATAATCTGCACCTGTCCAGTAAAGACACTTCCCCAGCATATGTTTTCCAGGTGTCACCTCTCTTACAAACTGACCTCCTGCAGTAAACTGAGTTTCTCCAGCTCCCACTGGTGGTCAAGGATGAGGCTGTCACTGCGAGGCCTCCATCCAGCCAGGTTCTCCTCTCCTCGGACATACGCCACTGAGGTGTCCAGTACACGCCTGCGACGACGCTGCATGCCTGAAGAATAAAATTGTCTGTCAATATTGTTGATTAAAATACAACTCCCAGTTGAAGAGGAAATGCTTTTGTTATTTTTTCTGATCATTTTCTTTGATTTTGATCCCACCTGGACTTCCATTGTCCGCCACATGGCAGAGGGTGACTTCGTAGACTCCAGTGACACGGTTGCTGAGAATGACAGGTGAGTTTTCAAAAGTGAATTTGAGAGAGAAGTAATTAATTCAACTACCAATTCAACTGCCTTTTTATTTAACATGACAGAGAGGTTGTGTAGTCCATAATCAGAGTAAGATTCAGACTGTGTGAATCCATGAACCTGTACCTCTCGGAGGGCCGGAGGCAGCCGGTGCTAAAGAGGTTTCTGATGGAGCGAGAGGCCGGCAGCTTCGCATCACGGGAATAAAACACCATGCAGAAATCTTTGGTGATTACTGTTGGCTGAGTGCAGTTCTCCATCTAATTAAAATAGGAAGTAACAAATCAGAACCCATTCCTAACTTGTATTTATGTTCAGCATTGACAGAATGTTGCAGTAGAAGTCTACATAGAACTAATGAATTAAAACCAAAGTCACTAGCATTGCATGTAATCTCCAGTACCTCTAGATAAGCAGAGAGGGTGATGTAGATCTTCTCCCCATAGGGAGTGACTCTGTTCAGAAGCAGAGAGTTGTGCATGGAGCTGTCCCATGCTGCCTCAAATCGATAGAAAGTTCTGCAGCGTGAAAAACAAACAGTTTATCGACTGTATGCATGATTTTTAAAGAAGAAAAGAGTCAACGTGATTAATAGCCTAAGGGGCAAATGGACCTTTTGTTATCAGAAATAATAATTGAAAAGATTAAAATGATTGTCATTTATACCTATGGTCAACTCCCAAGGACACGCTGCCATTTACAAAGAATAAAGAGAAACAGGACACGAGTTAGAAACTTTTAACTGCAGCTGTTAAAAGTTTGAACCCAGCAAATAATACTGATCCATGCACACTAAAAGTGAAGCCAAATAATATTTGACTATAAGAGAAGTGAAGCAATGTTAAAATTACGAATCAAAGCAACTGAACTGCAAGCAACTGACATTGAGGGTCTAAAGATAGAGGGTGTCACATGCTTGTAAAGCCCAAAATCACAAATTTGTGATATTGGGCTATATAAATGAAAATTGACTTGATTTGACTTAATATGTGTATATGATTTAGGTTTATAAATAAATTATAAGAGGAAACTGTTGAATATCATGTAGAAAATACACAGAGAGGGGGGAAAACCACTCAGTAAATTAAAAATCAGATTAAAATTCATACTTGTCATTGTGTTTTGGCCAGAAGTATCCAGAAGACAGGATGTTGAGGGAAAGGATGTTTGGGTCTATGATGGTCTCATCAGCCTCTGGCGTGTTTCGTATACGACCTGGAGTCAAACAAGTCATGCTGAGATTAATAAGCGATAAAGGAGCCATTTTTTAAAACAAAGGAGAAACACTTCTTTGAAGATCCAACGACTTGGTCAAAGATGGTTTTGAATTGTCCTTATTACTCACCAATAACCAGCTCCTTCACCTCTTTCCACTCAATATCATTTCCTGTTTCATGAGCGATGGTTACTGTGATCCTCCTCTGAATGCCCTGTGGAGTCAAGAGAAGAACTAGTTTGTTTACTGGAGTCCCAGCAGAGATAAAACTAAATGTAGATAAAAGAGCTGAATGGATTTGTATTGTATTTTTATTACAGGTTTGTGAAACTTCACTACATCACTAATAAACATGCTGGTTATTTGGCGTGACGCGGTCAGACCTGGTGTAAGAGGAACGTGCCGTGGCAGGGCATCCCACCTCTGTGGTCAACAACAGCTGGGATGTAGCTACAAACAGGGAAATAATCTGTACATTAAATGTAAATACTCAAGTGTTTAACCGAGATTAGGTTCATTTTGACTGCACAAACAGTGAATATGAAGGCCTCGCTTTATGGTGTTACCGTGGAAACACAGTCATAAACATATGACTCACTCTCCGTTTGCTTCCAGTTCACAGATCTCAAAGAAGACCATGAGGTCATATTTGGCGTGACAAGGACCTGCGGTGGAACGGGTCAGAGTGCTGAGCTTTGTGGCCGGCACTGGAGGAAAAAACAGATTCATGTGTGACAGAGAAAGACAGATTGTACTGTAACAAAATATTCTATATATCATGAATATATAACACCTTTTGATATACTCTCAGGACCATAAATGTCACCACTAACCTGGTTTGGATAAGGGCATCACCCTGGGGAACTGCCTCCTGGAAGGTCTCAGTGGACTAAAAGACAAAGAAACCAAACTTGAGGAAACTTTTCTTTCCATCTGGAAACATATCAAATCAACAATTAGTCATCAGCAGGTGAAAAGGTAAAATTTCTCCCTGACCTGATCAGGTCTTTGCAGAGCGGAGGGAAGGGCTGTTTCTGATAGTGGCCGAACACCTCGAAGACGATGGGCTGAGTCTTGATGTACTCCACGAAGGACTTTGTCACTTCCACTGTGATCTAACAAAGAAGAGAGCAAATACAACTCAAATACATAACTAATTCTGTAGATATTTTAAAAGACGTGTAAAAAAACATAGCAGAAGCAGTTATCAGTAATATTTGTTAATAATAGGTCTGAATGTAGTGTTCGGTGTTTACATTCTGAACATGGTAGAAGCCCAGCGGAGGTCCTCGGCCCGTGTTCTTCAGCGGCTCAGTGGAGAAAGCTTCGTCGTGGCGGTGGATGAAGCTGAAATATGTGAAGCCATTATCTAGACTCTTCTTACATTATGTCAACCAAAAACATCTGACTACTACACAAACATTTACAATCAGTGAAAATTTTAATACACATTATTGTTAATTGGAAAATATGGTCAGTCATTTTGTTTAAATCTTGAGCAGCATCTTCAGCAGCCAGGACTCGTTTTGCATCTTGCTTGTTGAGATCATTTTTCTGCAGATTATCTAGTGCCAAAGCAATTTCATATGAGATTTAATAACAACGTACGTCAGTTTAAATTATTTCTTTTGCATTCATTAGACCGTTCACAGAAGAGAGAGAGAGACTGCTGACAAAAACAAGGATGAAACCAGAGGCTTTTAGTGAGACTTGCATATACGGTACAACAACATTAGGACTGACAATATTATTTACAGGACTGTGGTGAAGATACGCTTGAACTTACTTGAACTGGCAGAAGATGTCGGCGTACTCGGCTGAGATGCTGGAGGCCTGTAAGACGGTGACTCTGAAGGTGAAGATGCTGCCAATCTTCAGGTGGGACAGAGCTTTCTCCGGGGAGAGGTCCAGGGGAGATCGAGACCCAGCACTGAACTCTTCGCCGGGCTGGGGGGAGCCTCCAGGGAGGCTGCATGGGACAGGGGAGGAGACACAGAAACACATGTATCTGGTATTTTAGATAATTTTCCTATTCATTTTATGAATTTATTTCAGCACTGGTGTACCATGTACATCAGATGAGTTAACTTTGAAATAAATGAATGTGTGGTGTTTTTCCAGGATCACACTCTTGTAACATAGTAAGACTTGGTTGGCACTGAGGCACTGTAATTGATTTCTGTTTCAAAAATACATAATTTGAAATTCACAGCTATTTGGCATTGAGTTCCTCCCTTAGATCTTTATGAACTGTGAGCACCAACCCAGGAAAAGGTCCAGCAATTGCATTCAACTCTTCCATCATCTTAATTCAAAGTCGTGACCTGCAGACTGTTGGACTGCACAGGTGTCACCTCACCTGGACAGGTGTTGTTGTTGACTTCATCTGCAGAGATTCCCATCTCTGTGTTCTGTCCTTCTCCCTCTACAATTCGCAGCTCCTCCTGGGATGTGTTGGAGTGGGAAAGACCACCAGGACACGACTCAGTCTGGAACTGGGACCAGACAGAAAACAAATCAGCTTGGACCCCATTTACACTGAGCATTAAGAGCAGACATTCGGAGAGAAATTTAGATTGCAACCCTCTTCTTGCTTTTAAATTACATGTCTGATATTCATGACTAATTCTATATCTGCCTTTTATTGGTTGTAGAGGAAACATTCACAGTACACCAGTACAAATAACTACCTTCTCAAATTGTTTGTCTTCAAAGGATATCTTGGCAGTGCCTGACTGCCTCACACCAGAGCCGTAGTCAGGGGCCTCTTCATCGGCTGAAGAGAGGCAAAAAAAGAGGACAAGATGTTGAACTACTGTCAACAATCATTTCTAAACACTAAAAAACTCAAAAGAACAGCATCCGACTGTCATAAGACTTTGTTCGTACCTGAGATGGCCTGCACAGCCACTCTGAGGAAGCCTTTCACCTCTCCTTTCTCACTGACAATGGCCACGCGATGTACCAGGGGCACCGGGTACAGCAGGTTACTCAGGTACACAAAAGCTCTGAGGAGACGGAGGAAGTGATGAGGTGTGTTCAGTTTTTACAAGCATTTATTTATGCAGGATTTAAACCAATAATGCATTAGTTGGTGACGGACCTGCCGACCAGACGGAACCAGGGGAAGCGGTCGTAGAAGGGGTCGCCCCCGGTCAGAGCGTGGTCACAGTCCTCCACGGCGCTGCTGGGGAGCTCTGCCGCTCGGTCGTACATTTCTCTCATCAGGTCCAGCCTCTGCCTGCAGGGCCAGCATAAAAAGAAAAACTTAGCAGTGGGCCTGTCAAAACAAGATATAAAGACGGCGCTGAAATACATGTTAAAGTAAATGAATGGCGCTATTAGAGAATCAAAACAAAACAAAAAATTGTCGTTGCAGAGGGAGATGTTCCTATCGAGTGTGAGGTACAGACTGTACTTTTTACAAGACAACAGGAAATTAGAAATAACAGTCAGAAGTGTTTCAGGGGTGACATGAATTTTAATATTCTTGTATATATATATATATATATATATATATATCTTGTATATAATATTCTTGTACTTTGCATGTGTCAATATCCACATTGCTTTTTTAGTTTTGTGTATTATATTTAATCCTGCCAATACATTATATTTTAAAGGGGTGGTGATGGCGCATAGATAAGTGCAGACCTCAATTCCCACTGCAAGACACTGTAGTAGCAACCTCTGTAATGTATAGCAATTGTAGTAGCTAAATGAATAAATGTAAAAATCAGCACAATATTTGACAAAACCACTTTACCTGAGTTTCTCCAGAGTCCAGTAATGTGTGGCTCCGTTCTTTTGATCTTGTACCTCAACGGCTACGATGGTTTGGGGGAAAGGTCGTCTTTCCCTCTCTGTGGCCACACTGGGGGGCAGCAGGTCGGGAGGCAGGGGGGAGTACAGCGTGTCTGTCAACAGGACAAACTGGAACTGCACCTGAGGAGGACATATGAGGTAAAACATGAGTGACTGTCTGTTTATATCCTCCTGTTTGATATCAGGGGTATCAAACTATATATATATATAAATAATATATTTCTTAAATTAAATAATATGTTTACAAGTAACACAGATGAAACGCTCACCTGTACAACATCAGAAGGATATCTTAGCGGCAATATTCAGAATACAAGTAATTTACTCGATCTTATGCTTTTTATAATACAACATACACTCTGGAGGGCTGGTTGGAGAAAAAAAAAAAAAACTGGGTGCGATATGAATCTGTCAAGTCCAGATAATGCTTATCGTGTGCACCTCTTACTACCTGGATGGTTGGACAGAGCATACAATCAAAATGCAGCACTGTGTCACTGTGATGACTCACCAGACTAAATCATTGTGATAAGTGCAGAATGGCCACTGACACACACTTAATAATCTGCAGTCTTTTTGCAAAAAAACATTTATTGTCCACTACTGAGAAGATTTCACCAAGGCAACAACGAAAGCCAGATTTGAGTTAGTCTTAACAAAGACCATGTATATGGAAATGGTTTGGATTATGTTACTTAGATAAATCTGTCTTATGTTTAGCTAAAACTAACAAAAAAACATAAATACAGCAACAAACACCTTTTTCTTCAGCTCCACACTGATAGCATTGGCCTCTTTGAGGAAGATGGCGTTGCCCCAAAGCAGATCCCTGAGAGATGTGAACTGGTAGAAACGCCACTTTCTGAACGCCCACAGAGCCAACTCAGTCTCTCGCGGTGTCCAAGGCACTGGAGAGCAAGACACATGATCTCTGATTGAGTACACAAATTAAAAGCCTAGTAGAGAAGATAGTTTGATGGGTTAGTAACAGTTAAAAGTGACAGTATCACCTTCCTCTTCAGGCTCCTCTTCTTCCTCGGGAGACTCCAGGTACCGAGAGTCCACTTGTTTCTGAAGAGCCTCCAGTTTACTCTCATAGTCCTGAGAGAAAACATATGATCCAGATCAAAAACAGAACGAGTGCATAGGCGTGATATTTTGCTTCTGTATTCAATAAATACACATTTGAACTGTTATTTTGTTTTTTGTTTTTTTTAAATCAGGCACCTTAAACGTTAAATAATTGTATCAAAGCTTGCTCTCACCAGCCTCTGCTGTTCTAGCAGGTTACTGGCTTCTTCTCTTTCTTTGCGGTACTGATCTTCAAGCTCCTGAAGCCTGAAAGGGATTCAAAACTCAATGTTAAAAAATCATATAATAAAGCAATCCGAATCATCATCGCCAACTTAATATCTTCTCCACGCACCTCTGCTCCATCTCCTGTTTCATGTCGATGCCTTGTTTCTCCAGCAGTTCTCTCTGAGCGAAGGCCCAGTCGACGGGTTCCACCGGCGTCTCAGCGCACGGCGTCCTCTCTCGCTCCAGACGAGCCTGCTCTGGGTCGTTGAAGCGAAACACGTGGCTCTTTCCCATGATGATGCGGTTCCCTAAAAAAGGACACAAGAAGAGTTCAAATGCTTTGCCATTAAAAATCACATTAATTACCAATCAGACTTGTGTGATGATGTTATGATGAACATTTTTATGACTTTATGTCAAAGTGAATTTTATCCAAGACGACTAAGACTTATCTCTTCTTCCATACATTTGCATACATTTCTGTTTATTCTCTGGGTACAGTTGCTTTGTTTTACACCTTTTTAAAACAAAGTAATATGAAGTTTCGCACATACCAGACCGCAGAACTGTGGGGGATGTCACTCTCTTCCCATTGACATATGTCTCTGCCTCCTCACATGGCTCCAGAATGACACATCCTGTTCAAGAAAAGGTTATTATCAAAGTATTAAACACACATACAATATAAGCTAATGGCTGTCCTAATGTTCAATATATATTTATGTTACAACATTTATGTAACATTGTTGCAGCCAGCCTTTACCATCTCCCTGAGGGCCAATGGTGCTGCTGAAGGTGCAGTGTTCATCTCTGATAAAATGGCCGCTGAGAACAATGTCTTGGCGAGTCTTGGCATTTTCACGGCCAACCCTGAGGAGAAGATAAGGTAATCCAATAAAGACAAATTCCCCAAAACAGCACAGTATCTGGAATAAATCTCAAATATATATGTAAAAATTAAAATTAAAAAAAGAACTTACTTGGTGATGCCATCTTTGATGTAATACAGCAGACACTCAGACATCAGCGGGTCTTCGTTCAGGTTCACCAGATGAGGGGTCTAAAAGGACAATCATGACAAATATGGTTAGTGTTTGTGTGACTATTAAAACTAAACAGTTGTCCAACAGTGACAATTGAAAAGCATCATGCCTTTTTTGGGGAGAAGACGCCCAAGGTGCCTCCATCTTCTCTCATGGCAACACCCATCTCAGCCAGCAGGGCCTCTCTACACAATCAATCACACAGTTGGCATCAGAACATACCATTTTACAAACAACAAGATTAGGGCAGAAGTTTTCACAAAGGTATGTATTCAGGATGTTAAGTTAGATGTTTTGCCACTGATATCACACTTTTTAACTCCCACTGTTTGACCCACAACATACAACTGGGACTATTATGAAAAGTTGCATGAATATAAACATGCAATTATGTGTCATTAGATTAGACCATGGCCATTTTCAAAAAGAATGCCCCTTTGAAAAATAACCCAAGAACTAGACCACAACTGAAACCAGACTACGAGTCTAGAGCTATGTTGGCAGTTGTGTGAGGCTGAACTGCGGCACAGCGGTATTTTGAGCTTAGCTAGCTTGACAAGATAACAAGAATGCTAATTTAGGATGGTAGCATGCTAAGATTTGACATACAGCTGAGGCTGATGGCAATGTCATTAGTTTTGCAGGTCATAAACCAAAGTATTGGACAAGTTAAACACTATAAACAGTTATTATAATTAATCCTGAGGGCGACATGAATGCTTACCAATTTTCATAACAACCCATCCAAAAGCTGTTGAGAAATTTCACTAAAACACAAAAATGTCAAACTCATGGTGGCACTAGAGGAAAAGTTAGAGGATCACTAAAATCATTAGCATTCATTCTCTGGGGACACTGAATGTTTGTACAAAATTTCATGGCCATCCATCAAGTGTTGTAGAGCTGTTTCAGTCTGGGCCAGTGTGGTGCACCAACCAGCAGAGAGGCAGCCCAACATTTCCATCCCTAAAGCCATGATGGTAGCATGGCTAAAAATATGGTGTATTCCTACTTCTTAAGTAGTCTGGCAATCCAACAACATGTATCCTTCAAAATGTTACGTTCAAATTAATCTCAAGGACCAAACCATTAAAATAGTTTGTAATATGTTATATACTGTATATATTATATTACTGTATATTATACTGTAAATTTCTTAGGGCAAAATAATCTGACTCAATGCTATGAAACCATGATTAATACATGAATATGTTTGACAAACCTATCCATACGGATGGCCTCAGTACGTCGCAGCTTCTCTTCCCATGTCTCATTGAGCTCTGCAATGATTTTCTCGGTTTCCTGTTGGCAAAATTAAGAAAGATACCTAAAATGTTCTACACTCTAAAACTGTAATTGATAATTTGCTCAATCTTGGATTTATCAAGAGCCGTTCCACTAATTGACTTTGCCTTTTCTTTGATTTTCTCATTCCCATATAACCTCCCATTGCCCAACTATACAGCCTGAACAATTCCACCATCATCCTTCCTACCTTTAGCCGCTCGATGGTCTCTTCACTGGCTGGGCTAAAGATGCGATCATGGAGGTTGCTGATGGACCCAGCACGACTAGACAGGGCTGAGAGTGTTGGGGAGGGACTCATTCCTGTCATGGCATTGGTCACTGTGGAGAGATCACCCCTTTGATTGACAGCCTGGCGATTATTCACAAAGTTCTTGTAATCGCACAGGTCTGCCAGAGAGAGAGGCGTTGCATGGAAGTGAGCAAGGAAGGAAGGAAGGTAGGAGCAGACGCCGGGTAATTAAGGAAAGACATCAGGGATTGAAAGGGACACGCAGAGAAACAGGATAAAAAAGGAAAACAATAGGGGAACAACAGGGAGGAGTACAAAAAAAAGAAGAGAAAGCTCAAATAATGGTTCAAAGAAGCAGAGGTAACTTGCTTACCAAAGCCATCGCAGACAGAGAGAAAAGAGCAACTCAAACTGAACAAAATGCCAAATTGACATTTTTCTGACACTGAAATTACATGTAGGCAAGCTCGCAAGCATGAGAGTGTTATGAGAAAAAAACTAAAAATATATACATCACGACAAAGCATAGAGATTTTCGGATTTTCTAATGTGTTTGCATGTCCTAAAGTCTTTGTTTAGCTCAGCCTTTTTAGCTCAGCCTTTGGTAGCGATGCACCAGACTCATAGCTTCAATTAGGTCCACACACAGAGAACCAGGATGCACAGAAAAGTTGCTCAGCAATCCAAAATGGCGTCCTCCCAGTCAGTCCTTTCTTCCATAAGCACTGATTGCGTAAAAGAAAAAGCATTAAACAGGATGCTTTATGCAAAGCTGGGTTAGCCTTCAGATTCTTCATGAGCTGCTATAGGATCATGGTGCAAAGCTTTTCAGTGAAAAAGAAAATCCCACCAAATTTAAATTTGTGTTACTGGGATGAAAGTATACTGAACAAAATTATAAACGCAACACTTTTGATTTTGCCCCCATTCATCATGAGCTGAACTCAAAGATCTAAGACTCTCTCTATGTACACAAAAGGCCTATTTCTCTCAACTATTGTTCACAGATCTGTCAAAATGTGTTCGTGAGCACTTCTCCTTAGCACATTTTCAAGTGGCCTTTTATTGTGGCCAGCCTAAGGCACACCTGTGCAATACCCATGCTGTCTGATCAGCATCCTGATCAGCATCTTGATATGCCACACCTGTGAGGTGGATGGATTATCTCAGCAAAGGAGAAGTGCTCACTAACACAGATTTTGACAGATTTGTGAACAATATTTGAGAGAAATAGGCCTTTTGTGTACATAGAGAGAGTCTTAGATCTTTGAGTTCAGCTCATGATGAATGGGGGCAAAAACAAAAGTGTTGCGTTTATAATTTTGTTCAGTGTATTAAGAGACTGGACTTCCCAGTTTAAACAAGAGAGGGAAAAGTCCTATTGCCATGGAAAGCAGAACTAATAGATAGGGAAAAGGAGGCCATTTTGCAGAATTCCTGAGAAAAGAGTAACTTAATAAAGCAACATGGTTTAAGTTCATAGAATATTTTTGTGTTGCTCAAAACAAATGATGTATGGTCTAAGTTTGTATGTCTTGTCAGACTTCACATATAGTCTCATGTTTGGATTGTTAGTTAGGTCTCTGGTGTGGTGGAGGAGGAAGGCCGGCTCGGGATTTATTTATTTTAGTGGCAAAGCGCAGGCTTGCTAGAGTTATACACACATTTCAAACCAGTGATGACGGGGCCGGTGCAGCGATACGCTGATAGGACAGAGGAGAGAAGAGAATGAGTGTGAGAGACACCCACACTCTGAGTTAAACTGTCACCCTCTGTCTTCTTAAATAAACAGATGACTAACTGCACAGAAGGTTAAAATTCAGGTTTGTGTTCGCACGTGTGTGTGTGTGTGCCTACATATGTGCGTTTTCTGAGTGATAGTTGGATTTCCTCGTGCGACACTCACTCTCTATGATGTCTCCCAGGCCTTGTGCGTACAGCAGGTCTTTGAGGCGAGCCACCTCCTCTTTCAGCTCCCGCACCAGACGGTTGTTGGGGTCCTCGTTGATCACAGCGTTGCAGCGGATCTGTTTGGCACGATCAGCATACCTGCAGGGAAGGAGGTCATCAAGGTCAAGGAGCCGTTAAGCTGTAAAGCATGATTCCTCAGGCTCTGCATACTGAATTACGCTGACCAACTAATGACAATATGAGGCTAAAATAGAAGCATGTTACTGTCAATTAACTGAGGGGAAACAACTATAGAACTTAGGGTGCATGAATTCATTAAGATGCTACACAGTAAATGCAAAGTGAAGGTAAAGGTCAGCAGGCAAAGGTCCACAAATAATGCAGCACTATTGAGCTGCATTAAGTCTGTTTTTCCTCAATAATATGCAAATGTAGTAGTACATGCAGTACATTTATTCTACTGGTTGAAAATGTGGTGTATGTGTGACATTATCTTCAAAATGCTATCAATAGTGAAAAATGTATGAATGTCAGTTAAACATTTTTCTCACCGGAGGGTACTGAGAGTCTCATCATAGTTAATATCAGCAGGGCTGAGAGCAGCCACCATGGCTGTACGAGAGTTTCCTCCTAAAAGACAGCAAGTGAGACAATTCATGAATAGACAGAGAAAATAATTTTATTCTAGTAAAAACTGAAGTTGATTTTTACGTGTGCATACCCAAGTTCTCCCTAAGAAGCCAAGTCAGAACTGAATCTCTGTAGGGAATGAAACTCTCCACCTTCTTTTTTTTCTTATTCTGTAAACATATTTGACACAATTTACCTGCTAATCACATCAGAAAACTATCAAAAAAATGTTGAATATAAACAGTTTGCTGTTAAAATATGTGATTGTTGGCATTACTGACCTTGTTTGGTGCTGAGTCCTGACAGTTTAAAAGAGAAATGCCAACATTTGTTATTTGGTCAACATAAAATTAGATTAGAATATTTTTGATGAAAAGTTAAAAAAATAAATAAAAAAAGCATACCACTTCAGCTAGAGCAGAAATAACTTTCCCCAGTGTAGTTAGAGATTTGTTGATGTTTGCTCCTTCCTGCAACAACAAAGAAATAAAAGTTGTCAATCTATTTATCAGTACATTTTAATTTGGAGCATTGCTTTCAAACAATCTTTATTTAATGTGTTTTGATCTCCTCCATGTGCGTAGAAATACCAAAAAACAACCATAAAACAGCAACTTCCTCTCACCTTCAGTCTGGTTCCTTTAGCTCCGGTTGAGTCAGCTCTCTCGCTGCCTGCCAAGTCCACCAGACTGATCTTGCTGACCTGTGATGATACCACATATTTTCAAAATAAGATGCTCTGTATGACAAAGATTAATCCACCACAGCTCACGTATTTCACCTGAAATTGCACTGCGAGAGCAGGCAGTAAAGCGTTATTTGGGGTTATCAATCAATACAGCGACACATTTGTCAGACAACACCACCACCACAGCCAGCCTCCACTCAGGTCATAAAAGGTAATAAAATAATTTCTGCCTTGCAGCATCTCCTCTAAGGCTGCTGAGGTGACAAGGTTCACGATAAGAAAATCATTCCTCTTGTTGGTTTGTTTGTTAGAAAAGCAGAAAATCATCTTGTCTTTCAGTCATACAGGGTGATTTCGAAGGCAAAGCCATGAGCTGAGCTTGCTGTCAGAACCTTTTCTGATGTGTTTTCCGACTCCATGTCGTGTTTCTTCTGTGTAAAGATGATGTTGAAGACAGCGTGGGAGCGGCTGCTGGTCTCGTTCATGTTGGTAGCAGCCACAGTCCTGGAAAAGAAAGGGAAACGCTGCATTAGGTGCATAATACTGACTCTTTCTGATTCTCTCTTACATTTTGTTTATCTATCATTATCTGCTCCATCCATCATTTGTTCCAGCCACATTCGTTTATTTAAGCATCTTTTAAGGTCTTTTCCGCCCATCATGCCACGCAGTAATCTAAGGAGTCCATCACTCAGTCTCACTCTCTTACCTGGCCTTGTTTCCAGAGTCCATCAGATCCTGGATGTCGTTGTATGAAGTGACGGCTAGCTTGGACAGATCTTCAACGTAGGGTCCCATCAGAGGGTGCTCTCTGACACGCAAGTTCCCTTTGTTCTTGGGATTCAGCAGGTCACGCACACGCTCACAGTAGATCTCCATGTAACTCACCTGTAAGAGGAAAAAAATGTGTAAAATGTTTTTATGAGTTATTAAGCAGTAATCATTACTACATGGTGGCATCAGGGGCAAGCAAAGATGATTAACCAAGTGAATAAGCTCCCAGATATCTTACAAAAATATAATTATAATACCAGCTGCCCCTCTGAAACATAATTAAACATAAGTCTTTTAATATTCTTAGTTTCAGATGGTTCAGTTTGTATAGACTAAGACAAATTCAAGACTGAGACAAATTGTGAGACACTGTGCAGAGAAAAGCCTCCAAATGTGAATAAAATAGCATACATGAAAAAGTATGAAGGTATGAAGGAGTTTGACATCACTCACCTCCACCGAGTAAGACATGCTGTTATCATTATTGCTGTCACTGATCTTGGTGAAAAGATCCTCACACAGCTAGATAACAAAGAACAGATTGTCATTTCAGATTGCATCTTTGTTTTTTTAAGCACAATTATTGAAGAGCATCAGATGTTTTCTTTGTCAGTAGGATAATTTTTGTGTTTAATTATTGTTCAGAATTTTATTCTGTGTTACCAGAGGGATAATTCCTTGCTGGTCCTTCTCCTGTCGTCCCATCATGGTGTAGCTTTTGCCCGCTCCTGTCTGACCGTATGCAAATATGCACACGTTGTAGCCTTCAAAGGCATGAAGGAGCATCTCCTCTCCGATGTCCTTGTACACCTGTATCTGGGACGCATAGTTGATGTCCTCAGGCTGCAGAAAGAACAAAGGGGAAAAGATGAGCAAGCATGAATTAACTCTAATAGACATCAAAAACACACTTGGTTCTAAAGGCAAATACGTTTTTTACTCCATGAGGCTAAATCCTAACATTTAGATCAATATTTATAATCGTGTATTAGTGACTTGTTCACTAATTTACTAATCTGACTAGTAGGACATTTAGTTGTTGAAAGCAGTAAAAAGTAAGTGATGCAGTGAAACTTACTGTGGTGTGTGACCAATAAGAATAGTCAAAGTTGAAACTCTTGTTTTCTTTTGGCTGTTTGGGGTTCAGGATTGCTAAAATAGAGCAAAATAGATCAGTTAGAGGCATCAGAAACAATTTAATAACCTGTGTCTTCTTTCATTTCAGTCTATTTACTGTCAGTTTTACATCAGCTGGGCGGAAATTAAATTCATACCAAATGGGAATCTACTTCTTTCAATGCAAAACATTCTCTCTCGCACCATTTGTCCCATGTCATGGCCCAACACAAACATTCAATTTAAATTACATTAAATATATATTTTTTAATTTTCTTCATGATCACTTGAGTCCAGTTGTGTCTCATCGTCTTTATTATAGACAGCTCTTGTTGATAGTTTCAAAAGTTTGACACATTGTTAGAAACAGAAGCACAGTTTTGTGAAAAGACAACACAAACAAACAAAACTGTGTTTCCAGCAGGAAATGCACGATCCAAAAGGTGCTGACGGACATTTGGAATCCGCATTCAGTGTCTAAACTTTTGTGTTGTGTTTTCTATGAGTTAGTCGAAAGAAAGAAACATATTTGAAGTTGTGATCACTATATTTGTAGTCTTAGAACACAGTTGACAGAAAAACTGTATTGCTCTTTTATGTGATTATTTCTAGTGGAAATAATTGAACTTGTCTACTAAAACATGTTAATAGAGGGATCGTCGACTACTGATTCAGATTCCACCTCTGTTCCCTCATTGTTCCCTGTCTTCTTCACTACTTTCCACCTTCAAATAACAGCAAAACATGCATAGAAAAAATATATAATCAGTAATGCAATACCGTATTGTTCAATTACAGCATGTATTGCTTAGTTTATTTTTCTTTTCTTTAATTTTATTAGTAACCCATCCTCTACATTATGATTTTGAATTATAGGTACCAGAGTTAAAGCAAATTTACCAGCACATAATGTGCCAAATCATCATCAACAGAGAGATGCACAGCACATAATCTAAACAGAGAAAAGACACACTAGTTGAGAGACGACTTACTATATAACAGTTAGCATCAGAAGCAGCAGTTTTAAATGCAACACTCATCCTTTTTAAAGAGAGGAGGGGTGTACCACAATTGGAATATGAAACAAGAACCGAGCAGGAGCAGATGCTCTTTAACTGTAAACTAAATCCGCTGTGAACAAGTTCAATATAGCTGCAGCAATATCCTGCTGAAACGTGCACTCAGCTAGGAACAACTCAGTGTCCATCCAACAGCTAAACCTGCTTATCATTTAGCGGGCTGCAGGGAGCAGTGTGTTAAATTAGTAAAGTTAATGAGTGGATATAACTCTTGAGGGTCAGTCAATACACTGACAGGCACAACAGACACACACACACACACACACACACACACACACTTGCATCAGCTGACCCCGTGTCTGGGATCAACCAGAACAAGGAGGTCTTTTTGGTCCCCGCAGCTCGTATGATGAGAGAGGAGAGCTGAGGCGGTCGCTACATCCCACACACACAGACACAGAGACAGAGACAGGCTTCAGGCCTGACTGAAGCTTTTGTTTCCTTATCTAGCTGCTAAGATGCCACATGCCTCCCTGCCCCACTCCCTTATTAGTGGAGGGCACAAAGCTGCCTACGAGACAAATAACTTGAGGTGAAATGCTAAACTTGGCTCAGTGTAGGTCACAGGAATGTGATCAAAACAGCAGCAGAACATCGCTGCATCTCTGGGTTTCACACTAAAAACCATCTGTAAGACTTTAAAGGATCCATACCTCATAGGTGACCCTGCAACTGTTCTATCAGCTTGTCGCAATTATTTATATGAACATTATGTGAATCTGGTTAGCTGACAAGAAAATTACCTGATTAAGGGCCTTTTACGAATTTGTCAACACTTTTTGCCTATTTACAATGCATATGTGGGAAATTGGTTATTGCATGTTTACTTTGTAAACTCTCTGTCATCTAGCATACATCATTCAGTGTTTCCCTCAATTATTAATCCCTTACTGGGTGTAAAGACAAAGAATAGTATCAAAGAAAGTGAATATAATATATTTAAAAATGAGGGAACAAATAACTGCGTTTTACAGATACATACAGTACCTCTGTACACATTATCCAGTACATTGCATGTACACGATATACATATTTGTATGATATATATTCCCTGATACATTCATCCAAATTTGCACGTTATTTTACACCCCTGTTTTGAATTTTTATGTTTGTAATGTCTTTCAAAGTATTCTGATGGCAGAAGTTTTTCTTTGCAGAAAAAATAGACAATCCAGGTTAAAGTTCGTTTTATGTGTTGCTTGAAGACCACTAATCCCTGAGACAATGAGACAATGACTTCAGACACGTTTTAAGACATATAAAAAATGTACTGCTTTGAATTAAAAAAAATATTTTATGTCTGATATAGTTTTACCACTTATAAGTTCAATTAATTAGTTTAAAATTCTTAAAATTACATCTACTCCTTCTCCCTCCATGAAAGTTATGGAATCGATAGATGCAAATATTTAACATTTTAAAAGTTGAAATGTTCAACAAGTTGCATAATGAACCATGAACAGCTTCCAAACTTAAATATCACAAAATCATGCTCATACCTACACATCTTTACAACTAAAACAAATAGTCAATTAATTAATTAGTTGATTGACTGGGAATGAAGCTGCAACTATTGAGTCATTTTTCAAGCAAAAATGCTTCTTAAATGTGAGATTTGCTGCTTTCCTTTGGCTTATATAATAGTAAGTTGAATATCTTTGGGTTTTGGACTGTTAGTCAGATACAACAAGCAATCTGAAGACATCAACGTAGGCTCTAGGAAATAAAAAAAAAGCAGTTCTCCACCATATTCTGACAATTTATGAAACAAACACTGAATCAACCAATTGAGAGAATAATAGGCAGACTGAATAGATAATGAAAGTAAATAAGTAGTTGCAGCCCTAAACTAATGTGAGTACAGATAAATGTTTCTTCTACGGAAACTCTGCAGACATCATTCTGCACAAGGAAGCTCAAACATTCATGTGAGGTAACAATATGCAAAACACATTTTCACACAACACAAACACATCAACTTCAAATACACTCAAACTGACTTAAAAACGCATACTGACTTGTGGTGTTTCCTGACATCTGAATGATGCACTTGCTGTCCTTCCCCATCTCTCTGGAGTTGAAGGGTCGGACTCTCACAGCCACCTTCACTGAAGCCCCCGCCATGTTGCAGGTGGGTTTGCAAGTGAGCAGAAGAGCTGAAGATCTGTGTGGTTACACAGACACACGTGGCACCTGCACAGGCAGATGATGAGAGGGTTTTAATACCAGGGCAAACAGAAATACGTAGATGTCTAGTTGTATGAAGCACCACATATTTCATTACTACCTTTAATAAGGATAAGTAGCCTACCTTCAAATAGTTAAAAATTATAATTTGAATCGTCTGTGGCCTGTTGTTGTTATTATCATTGAACATTGTAGACAGGGTCTTGGTAGCCTCAATAAACAGCCAAGACTATGACACAGTCTCTATTTTTGGGCCCTGAATCAGTCTTTTTTGGCTTCAGTCAGAGACAGACAGCTCCTAAAACAAGCTGACTAAATAGCTGGTTCATTATTTGGCAAGAAGATCATCAGCATCCCTGCAACAGTAAAATGGCTGCTTATTCTTCGGGCATCCTCCCCTGGCCTCATCCATCAGGGCTGAAGGCCTTGTGATGAAACCGAATCGCCTCACTGCTTCACCCCAAAGAAAAGAACACACATTCCTAATTTGTGGTGTTTTTTTCACTTCATCTTTACAAAATGCTGTCTTACTTTTGATTTTAAAACCCTTAATGATCGCTTTTACTTTTTCTCCACTGTTGATGACCAGACAATTTAGGTTTATTTTTAACGGTAGCCTACAATTGCTTCAAAGTAGCGCCGCGCACATCCATCTTCTCGGCATTAATCGATGATAAACACAATTCCTTCAGAACATCTTTATAGTAAGCCTTTATCTGTACATGATACATTCTCAGAAAAAGCGAAAAGACATTTGCAAATATTAAATAATAGGCCATGTAAATATTGTCTCCTCCATCTTGCTTTGCCTGCCGCACCTCAAAGACAGGCCGCGTAAACACAAACGGCACCGACCTCAAATCACCAAACACTGCGTCAGAAAGGAGGTCAGCACACATTATTAGAGCTGAAATAACATTTACAGCTGTCACGAGCGCATCTGTTTATATAATTGGGGTACCGGTGGTGTCGTTTATTTAAAGTTTCTTTTTTTTTTTAAAGAACAATTGTTGACAGCAGCGGAATCAAACACCCTGACGCACCGTGCTTATTTATCGCCTCACATGTCCGAAAGGCCTCGCAATCACCGACGCACACACAAAGTCATCACCAAGGCGTGACACTCTTCAGCAGCGATGCTGTGCCGTGAAAAACATCTCGGAAGAGCTGCGTCTTACCTCAGCAACTCAGACGTGACGACCGCAGATTGTGAATTTTCTGTCCATTCAAAACAGATCCACCGGTCTCTCCCTCGTGAAGCTCCTCGGCAGCCTGTATTTTTTAGTCTCTCTCTCTGTCTTTGGTCAGCCTACAGCATCCTTTTCCTTGGCACATCCATACATGGAGAATCCGCCGGGGAAGGAAAGAGGGAATCGGCCTCGGCTTCAGCAGCAGCAGCAGCACTGGGTGGACTGGAGTGTTGAACGCAGCGGTGCGTCAATTAGAAATCAGAGTGGGCGACAGGGGGGAGGGAGGAGCGAGGGCCAGATGGATAATCTGAAAGGATGGGTGCGGGCTGCTCCAGCGGCCCGGCTGTTTGGTCTGTCAGTCAGTCTGGAAGCAGGGAAAATGGCGACGCTGCTGTGCCAGGGATGCTGGGAGGCGGTGGTGACATCAGCATCAGCATCATCGGCAGCCGTGAGGCAGAGCAATGCAGCACAGAGACACAGCGGAGTAGAAGCAGAGGGAGGGGGAGGGCCCAGGGTTGGGCCAAAGAGAGAGACACAAATATGGGCGAAAATGGGAGGTTAGAGGTTTAGAGTGAGAGTAAAACTCAAATAGTCAGGAAAAGAATGGGACAGTCTATCTGTCAAGTCAGACTCTCCATTGTTGTGAGCACCTGTTGGGCTTTTCATCCATGTGTTTTTCAAAGCCAAGTGGGCTAAAACAGGCACCTGTCCCAGGTCCCAGGGGCTCCAGGTTCACTGTGTGTCAGCTGGTTCCTGGTATGTGCACATTTGCACTGCTAAAATACAATATCAGCAAAGGCATATCCTGCATTAGTAGGTAATTTTGTGGCCGTAGAATCATTGTGTCAAAATCTAGTTTTATTATTATATTATATTCAGTTCAGGGAGTAGGTGAACCTTGTGATTGTTTTGCTGAGTTCTAAGTAAAATGTAATGATTGACTGATGATCTGCTGCTCAGATTTAAAAAATGTAATCGCATGGTGAGGACATTATAAAATAAAGATACATTTTATGAGTTCAACTTAAAAAATGTGGATGTTTGCCTGAGAAATGAATACTGGTGTCATCCTAATCCAGCATTTCAATCTATAGCGACCATTATTATTTATTACTATTACTAATACTATTAATTAAACCGATGACTAACAATGTGAAAGAATTTCATATAATAGACCTGCTATGGAAGATAAGATAAGATCAGCCTTTAATTGTCTCACAGGTGAGAAATTTCAACATTACAGCAGCAAGTGGATAGCATGGAATAAAGTAAAGTGATAAGTGACATTAAACATAATGCTAACAATATCAAAAATAAAAAATAAATTAAACAATCCTAAAATTTAAACAAAAAACTATATTTTTACAACTATAAAACAAATTACCAAAAATAAAATAAAACTGAATGTTCACAGGTACTGTGGAGACATGCTTACTCCTGCGAAAGTCCACCAGCTCCCAAGTCTTTGCTGCATTGATAAGGAGGTGGTTTTGATTGCACCAGTCCACAAAGTCCCAATTCAGTTCTCTGTACACTCTGTCATCCCCATTAGAGATGAGACCAACGATGGCAGAGTCATCAGAGAACTTCTGGAGGTAGCAGTCTGAGGTGTTGAAGGTGAAGTCTGCAGTATAGAGAGTAAAAAGGAAGGGTGCCAATACTGTTCCTTGTGGTACCCCGAGCTGCAGACCACCGTGTCAGACTGACAGTCCTTAATCCTCACGAACTGTGGTCTGTTGGTGAGGTAGTCCAGGGTAGTCCAGGTGAAGATCTACTCCAGCGTACTCCAGCTTGTCTCTCAGCAGCGTAGGCTGGATGGTGTTAAAAGCACTGGAGAAATCATAAAACATGACCCTCACAGAGCTTCCAGTTTTTTCCAGGTGGGAGAGGGATCTGTGGAGAAGGTAGGCCTGTAGGCAAACTGCATTGACGGGTTCCCTAAGTTATCAAAGAACGAGTCTTTCAAATGTCTTTCAGATGAGACGTCAGAGCCACCAGTCTGTAGCTGTTCCTGTCCTTACGGTGTGGCGTCTTAGGCACAGGAACCAGACATGATGTTTTCCCGCAGCTGTGGGACTTGCCTCAGCTTCAAGCTCAGGTTGAACATGTACAAGAAACCAATGTATCGGTGAAAGCTGGATGTTCATCCATTCTTATAATATTCTAAAATTCAAGAATTCTAATTAAAAAGAAAATAATTAAAAGCATCTTTATTATTTAAACTAGGATGAGATAGTTTGAATTGGCCAAGTCCTTTTCCATATTTACCTCATTTTGAGGCTGTTTGGCATCACTATTGACTGCCCTCTTTCTCTCTCTTTTTGTCTATACCTCCTCCTGCTTTGTTTGTGTACAATTTTGAGTGTTCAGTCCAGTGCAAAGGCCATTGAGAGATCAACACAGGTCCCATTTATTTACCAGTGGTGTAATTATTTACCCAGCCAGACTCAGAGAGGGGCACCTTAATCCTCCTAGCTAAGAAAATACAGTAAAAAAAAAAGAAAAGCAAAAAATATTCAGTTACAGAGAAAGGGCAAAGAATAAACATAATCTCTTAAGTTTAGCAAAACCTTGCTTTTGTTTCCCATTCAGCTTGTTAAGATATTTATAAAGTAAAGCACTTGATCAGAATAAATCTTTAACATCACAGTAAAAAGTTAATGTGAATGTTTGAACTGAATGGTGTAGGTATACCTATACCCCTTTCCATCTTTAACATCCTTAAAAACACAACTTCAATGATTAATAACTGTTCTTACATTAAAACAAACAACCGGCAGATGTATGTATGATTTACATGATGTTAAACTAAAACGTTTTTGAGCATAAAACTTAAGAATATATCAATGTTTTGGATATTTAGTGACATGTGGTGATCCACAGTAATGCTCACCTCCAGCAGAACTCATCAATGAGAGCATAAACTTGTTTCTGCTCACTCTTCACTGTAATGTTTTGTTTTGAGAATACAGCAACTCTTGCACCATTAAACAATATGGCTTTCTCACTGGGGTTGGACAGCTCTGTACAAACTTGGCACTAAAATGAATCTAGAGTGAAATGATCTCAGCAGAGCAGCTAAAAATACAGATACAAGTCACCCAAACAAGGACACAATAAAATCTGACCAGTCAGAGGTCCTCAAAGCTTGACAACAATGCCTGAAATCAAGGAGTGTTATTGACCATATGGCACCACCTCATCAACTCTGCCATGTGCATTTTCCATACAGGTCCTATCAAAACTTGCAGAAGTTGCTTTTGTTAAATAATTTCCATTATACATCGTACAATACCACCACTGTAATCCTCTTTCTCTTGAGAAAAATGTGTGTGTGTGTGTGTGTGTGTGTGTGGACAACACTTTCCACAAATAAAATGTGATCCATTCTGCAGTTCTGTCTCAGCTAGATCTTTTCACAATCTGTGTTTTCTAGGCAACAAAAGTTTAATCATTAATCAAACTTTTGAGCCCACTGTTAACTTGAAACTTACATCTTACACTTATTATATACTTATAAACTCAACAGAACAAAGTCTGACAGGAAATTACCCAACCTTAACAATAAAGACAATAAGATTGAACCATTTTCCATGATGAGTATTGATTTGCATGCGTGTGTGTCTGTGTGTGTAGGTGGGTGGGTGTGGGTGTGTCTGTCCCCAGATTGGCTCCCTGAGAGGAGACACCTCTTTACAAACCCAATGCTGCTGTGACTGAAGGGGCAGAAAAAATCAATAAACCTGCAAACTAACCTAAACCAGTTCTAAGCTGCCAAGTACACTTTTCCATAAGAGTTGACCCAAGTGCTCTGGATCTAGACCGGTCACAAAAACAGTCCTGGTGGATCCAAACTGTAACAAATACCAACATGCACCGATGAGTCTTTACTTTGGTAAGACTTCTTAAATTCTGGCCTGGAAAAGATTAAAATATCTTGCTTGTCATTTGAAGTGTACTAAATAATTAATTAATTTCCAAATATAGTCTCATCCAAATGGGAAAGAGGCTTTGATAACCACCTGCTCAGAAGCAGTTTGAGTATTTTCTAGTTTTTAAAGTTTTAAAAGTTTTAAACCTTGAAATGCTGTGAAAATACCTGCAGCCATTCATCAAATATTTACAAAATGATACACTTTTTTCCCATAATAACTTCACGTTAAATCCCTTATTGCTAACCCATAAAGAGCAGGGTTGGTAATAAGGGGAGGCACACTGTCACATGGTCAACAGGTCAAAGACCAGTTTGTTTAAATGATCACCCAAAAGTCACAGGTTCAGTCTCTTCATCTGTCGGTGGTGATCTCACTAGCTGCAGGTTTCTCAGGAACCAGTACACCAGCCCTGATGCAGCGGGCTTTGTTCAGCCGGAGCGCGCTGCTCGCCCAGCAGGCAGCAGCGGCCCTTGACAGTCCGCTGGCCGCGAGGAGCGCGCCCCTGCTCCAGCGACTGGAGCGCTCCATGTCCTCCGTCACCATCCCGCCGCCGGCTTGCATGCTCCGGCCGCTGGAAGTTCCACTGCGTCACCTGTTCGGACCAGGACCCTCAAACGTTCCTCCACGTGTCTTAGCTGCAGGGTCCAGGCCGATAATTGGTCACCTGCATCCAGAAATGTATGAGGTAAATGCTCCAATGCTGACTTGTAATATATATTAAATTCTAATTAGGCCTAATCTAAGGTGGAAATAAGCATTTTGGCTCGAGAACTCAACTTTGGCGGCGCAGGTCCATTTTGGTGTCTAATTGTAATCCTAAAACTTGGAATAGGCTACCGAATAATTACTTTTAGTAGTATTACAATAACTTCCCTTATTTTTAGGTAATTTAAACACTTTATTTTTTTATTTATTTTATTAGACTATATTCAACTTTGTACACCAATTATTCATGATATATTTAAAACAAGTCAGTGCTCTAACTTTCTTAAAAAAGATCAATCTTTTGTGCTTAATTGCACAGACCCACTGAAAGCACTGAATGCACTCGGTGACAGACAGGTTAAAACGTTTATTTGACATTTTCGTTGTGTTTCTTAGATCATGAATGACATCAAGCGAGGGATCCGGTATGCCTTTCAGACAGAGAACAACATGACTATAGCTATGAGCGGCTCCGGGCACGCGGCCATGGAGTGCGCGGTGTTCAATACGGTGGAGCCCGGAGAGAGCGTGCTCATTGCTATCAACGGAATCTGGGGAGAGCGCGTTGCAGAAATTGCAGAAAGAATGGGTACGTGTTTACACACGGTTTTAGGCACGCATATATTGGGCGGCCAAAGAAGACTACATGTAGGCTACAATATCTATCTATCTATCTATCTTCAGGTGCCATTGTACATAGAATGGTAAAAACACCTGGAGGACATTTCAGCAATAAGGAAATCGAACAGGTAGGCACAATGTCTCAGAAGCAGCCCATAACTTACCCATAACATTCTCATAGCCCTAACTATGGCTGAACTACTATGATGAATACATAACTGGGAAACACAATCAGTTTCACTGTACTGAGTAATGGGAACATATATGTGATTAAACTCCTTTTAACTCTTTCTGTAGGCCA